AACCTAAATAAACTTCCACGGTAACATTTCACTTTATATAAATTCATTTGGCTTTGAAATAACTTATTGTTTATTGTAATTTTTTATTTTGTTGAGAATTATATTTAATAAGACTTTACATGCATGAGTTATTAAACTAATGTTCCTAAATTGGATGCACTTTACGGTTCGGAGACTTGTATGTAAAAGACAAATATTAATTATTATTTTTTTTAATTACTGGGAATATAGCTTTTGTACTAAGAGAAGTTTAATATTTGAGTCAAAGTTAAATTTCCATTCCTTAAAGTTTTCTTTATTTTCTAATAGTATTTGAGTTTATTTCACCGCTGGCCAGTTTCTTCAAGTCTCACCTTCAGGAATATCGTAAATCTTTTCCTGATTTTACTTTTAAATTCTATCCCTCCTCTTTTTATTTTCTTAGTAAGGAAAATAAAAACTTCAATTCTGTCATTTTATTCGTATTAATTTAATGATATTTTACCATTTTTTTATTTCTTTTTAGTGTCTCAAGGATTAGCCTCAGTAGTCACAGTCTGCCTCGTGTATCCAAGGATTTGTTATAATTTCTTTTCTTTACTAAATTTTTTAATCTTTCTCTTCTTTCATTTCTGTTGCTCAACCCATTTGCTGCCACGTCTAGTATTTCCTACCTCCCTCTGCCTCTGTCTTCACCTCACTTGTTACTGTTAAGAGAGAGAGAGAGAGAGAGAGAGAGAGAGGTGTAAGTAAACAAGGTGTGAGAAGTGTGTATGGCGGGAGTACTGTGGGAGTTAGTATGTAAATTGAAAAAGAGAAAGACAGACAGGCAGATACTCAAACACACTTATACATACTGAGAGATAGATCCAAGTAGACAGACAGACAAACGAAAATACAGGAAGACAGACAGATAGACAGACAGACAGACAGACAGCAAGCGATAGTGAGGCGGAGGGGGAAAGGGAGGGCGGGGGACTTCCAATATGTATTAATACCTGTATAAGCAGTTCAAAGAGAAAGCTCTAAAAAAAAAAAGTTGAAAATCTCATTAATTTCGATACAAACCCAATTTTCCACTCACATAAAAATGATGTTGAGTGTTTCAGTTCATCTGCCGGGCTGCCGAGCTTATGTTGCCTCTGCGTAGTGTGAGGCTCTGCGTAGTGTGAGGCTCTACGTAGTGTGAGGCTCCAAATCTAGGGGAAAAAATTGTGTCGAAAAACATATTTGAAAAAAAAAAACAATATGGCGTATTTGTTTATGGTTGCTAGTGAAGAAATAAAAAAAATGGGTGAAAAATTTAAAAGGAGGGAGTTTTAACTTGTCTTCGTGAGGGAAAAACATCTAATTTTTTTTTAGGGAAATATTGACCTCGTATAATGCAAGTTTGAAGATAATTGTAATTTTTGAAGAAAGAGAAGAGATACGGGAAGTAAATTAGTTTCGTGTGGTTTTGAAATATAAAGGTAAATATTTCCATTGATTTTATTTTTTTTCTTATCATGAAATATAGATGTAAAATGGATACCTGTTGACTGTAAGAGGATCCAGGTCATTAGTGTTCGGTTATGAATAAGACAACTATAGGAATTTCCATTGATGTTATTAACCTTATTTTATTGTTTTTAAATGGCTTACTGTAGCCCTGTAGTCATTACGTTATTGAGAAGTCCGTTATTGAGAGGGTTTACTGTCGACATTACGTTATTGAGAGGGTTTACTGTAGACATTACGTTATTGAGAATTCCGTTATTGAGAGGGTTTACTGTAGTCATTACGTTATTAAGAAGTCCGTTATTGAGAGGGTTTACTGTACTCTTTCGCATAGCAACAACCTCATCCCTCAAATTCATTCAGCCGACGAAATTTCTGTTCCCACCTCAAAAATATCCACAACACACACACACACACACACACACACACTCTCTCTCTCTCTCTCTCTCTCTCTCTCTCTCTCTCTCTCTCTCTCTAAGACAAACAATATCTCTACAACTTCCTTCAATATCGTCTTCCATAACAAAACCATATTTCGGTAACAACTTCTTCAGCTTGTTCTCCTGTTCCTCAGTCAATTGGTGAACAGATAATTATAGTCGACCTAGTTCCTCCCTCCGTCCTTTTCGTCTGCCCTTTCCAGTTCGTCCGTGACATTTAAGGTGAATGTATTATGGACAGATCTTATTTTAGGTTCATTTCTGCGAGAGAGTGAGCACTTAATATTTCACACTAAGGAGAGAGAGTCTTGGAGGGTGAGAGGTACTAAGGCTTGTTGGAGGGTGAGAGGTACTAAGACTTGTTGGAGGGTGAGAGGTACTAAGGCTTGTTGGAGGGTGAGAGGTACTAAGACTTGTTGGAGGGTGAGAGGTACTAAGGCTTTTTGGAGGGTGAGAGGTACTAAGGCTTGTTGGAGGGTGAGAGGTACTAAGGCTTGTTGGAGGGTGAGAGGTACTAAGACTTGTTGGAGGATGAGAGGTACTAAGACTTGTTGGAGGGTGAGAGGTACTAAGGCTTGTTGGAGGGTGAGAAGTACTAAGACTTGTTGGAGGGTGAGAGGTACTAAGGCTTTTTGGAGGATGAGAGATACTAAGACTTGTTGAACCTAACGTAACCTAACCTAACCTAACCTCTAGTAAGTCAGTCTGTTAATGTACAGGGTCTCTCAAGGCTTAAAGCTTTACTCAGTGTATAAACCATCTCTCTCTGTACGAACTCTTTGACTCCATGATTTTTTTTAAACCAATTAGATTCTTCGGTTGGCTACAAAATAATGTTATCTCTCAACGCAAATGCATGAAAGAACCAATTTAAATCACAGTAAAGTACATGTGATTGCTTTATTGCGGTGACTAACATGTAAATCCCAACTTTAGAAAAATAAAATTGTGATTGACAACTTGTAGATCGCTGTAGAGTTCAGTGTAAAGTGACATTCACCCCGAGCACCTTCAGCAATCAATACGTCAAGCCTTACTGCCTGGATGTCCGGTGTGGTATTAGAAAGATCACTCATGATTTATGTAATCACTATAATTCCTTCTACTGTTTATTTTTCACCAATAGAGTATTATAATACTTATCGTGCTTTATCCTCATTGTACAGTTCCCTTCACTAGTACGTTTACAGGGGCTCGTCAGGTTTTGTGCAGTGTGGCAGCGTTGTGTTTGTTTACATTCGATAGAAGGAAACTCACAATAATAAACATACTATATCATCAAAATAAAACAATATTAAAACAAATTTCTCGAAGATAATGATTTGTGGAATGTTTACATGACTAGCCCCTGTAAACGCACTAGTGAAGGGGACGTGTACATTGTTGCACCGTGTTGCTCTATCCTCATTATACCTTGTACCTCCGAGTTACTCTATCCTCATTGTACTTTGTGGCTTTGTGTTGCTCTATCCTCATTGTACATTGTTGCACCGTGTTGCTCTATCCTCATTATACCTTGTACCTCCGAGTTACTCTGTCCTCATTGTACTTTGTGGCTCTGTGTTGCTCTATCCTCATTGTACATTGTTGCACCGTGTTGCTCTATGCTCATTATATCTTGTACCTCCGTGTTACTCTGTCCTCATTGTACCTTGTGGCTCCGTGTTTGATATCTACAAGTAACCTTCGCTTCGGTCTAAAAATATCAATGTCAATGCTGAATAATTTGCACGGCTTCCAGGAGTGTTATAGTGAGCCAGATCCCATCCTTGACCGCAGTGAAAGATGACTGTGGAAGGGGGTACTTGATGTTGACTGGTAGAGATTAGGAACTGTCCTTATTGTGGAGTGATGGAGACTGGCGAGCTCGTTTATTTGGACACTATTTAACTGGAGACTATTTAACTGGAGACTATTTAACTGGAGACTATTTAACTGGAGACTATTTAACTGGAGACTTAGTTAGTGAAAGCTGCTCGTGTTAAGTTATAGAGTGGAGATAATTATTGACTGGATAGAGAAGGAATGACTGACTGACCGTTTAGTGATTGCAAGACAGATAATCACTGACTGGTAATGATAGACAGGAGAGACTGTTCATAATAGAAATAACTGCATCTCATTCATTTCCTTATCAACCTATATTTATATTACTGTTCCTCATAGTTTTAAAATAACAGTATCTACCTTTTTTTTTATTTAACGTACAATAATATGTCTACTGTTGTGGTGTTGTGAAAGACAGTGTTCTTAATTAATTACATGAGGAAGAATTTTTTTTTTTTTTTGGAGGGTGGATAAACAATGCAAAGTGTTACATCTTCCTTGATCGGGACAACAAACTGCTTCCTGTGTACTGTACAATCTCCTGGGAAAGAAAATATGCTGTTTGCGCATTCGTTGAGTTTGTTTCTCGTGGATCACAGCCAGGGAGAAATATGCAAACTCCAGGTGATAAATTGAAATATATTTCCATTCCGGCTCCTACATTTCTTTTCCTTTACATAACAAAGCGTGGCGTTGGGTGGTACTGTGCCTGTTTTCTTTTACCATGATTTGATGTGTTCAGAGGACCGTTACCATGATATAAAGATATAATGTTGTTTACGAAAATAGAATTTGGATAGCTCATTGTATGGAATTTTTTTCTCGAGCTGTTCCGTAAAGGGAAACTATGATTAATATATTTGTCAAAAGACTACAAACACTTTAATACCAGACTCCTCGTTACTTGTTGTTGATTATGGAGAGTAGTTTGATAACTTAATGTGTTGTTATTATGCAGTTGCTTTTTGAAAACTAAACCCTGATAATGTTGTTTATAGTACACACTCCTCTGACACAGTGTCCTCACAATGTTGTTTAAAAGAGGAAGAATAATAGTTAATATATGATGTTTTTATGTAGTTATTATATGTGGAGATGTCATGTGTAATCCTAATGTTTTCACAATACACATGTCAACATACAACCCCCTGACATAGTGTATGGAGCTCTCTGACACATCACTGTTACAAACACTCCACTACATTGTGACAATGAAAGCAATACGCTAATTGCCGGTGCTTCTCTCTTGCCCTTCAGCTACGCAAGCCTGTGTCCACCCTGTCCATCCCTGGGTCGATGAAGGGGGGCGCAGGCGGAGGGGGTGGGCGTGGTGCGGAGGGTGAGGACCCCGGCATAGCGCTGGTGGGCGTGCACTCCGAGTACCCGCGCTACACCGAGGAGAAGGCCGGGTCTGGTGCCTGCAAGAACGCCTCCTTCAAGCTGCGCAACAAGCCCAACGTCGGGTACCGCCTGGGGCGACGCAAGGCGCTCTTCGAGAAGCGGAAGCGCATCTCCGACTATGCCCTCGTCATGGGGATGGTCGGCATCATCGTCATGGTGATAGAGAACGAGCTCTCCTCCGCCCAAGTCTACGATAAGGTAAGTCAAGTTCTCCATACTGTTCTCTTAGGGTCTCACCAGCCTCCTGCAGCTTCCACTTAGCTGAGGCATTGTCTCCTGCCTCCGAGACTTCAGTCCATCTGGTCTGATATCTGTCATCACCTTAATGCTTCACTCAGTCTGTCTGGAACAACAAGACTCCAGGCATAGCATCATTTGCCTTGGGTTTAGTCAGGCATTATTCTTATCTTCTTGATATTTATCTTGATTTATTTATTCAAGCTCTTATTAATTTACTTTTATTTATATTTCCTCCTGGTGGTTTCTCTTGAACTGATTTTAATTGGTGACTCCTACCTAAGGCTTCACTTGCTTCAACTTAAGTAAAGCAGTTCTCTTCCTGGGTCCACTTCTTATACGTCCACCAGTTTGCGGTGCGTATTACCTAAGAGCATTGTTCTCAAGGTCTTGTTTTTCCGTACGTCTATCTTTCCATTATCCGGGTTCTTTTGACCGAAGCTCTTCACATGTTAGGGTAGGATCGCACACATAATGGTAAAGAACATACTTAATTTTGATGAGTCTGGGGTATTGGAGAATTACCTAACTAACTTACTTACCATATTATGGGAGACTAAGATATGGCTAGAATAGCTCTTAGACAATACCGTAATTTGCTGTGTTCCCCCGACAACGGTTAAGAGGAAAGTTCATCTTCCGAATCATTGAGAATCTTGACCCTAGCTCTTACGGCCCCAAGGTCATGACCCTAAATTGACCCCCCCCAAAAGGGCATTTACCTACGCCCGCAAATTCGTAGGGGGTATTATAACGTCGTCCATCTGTCTGTTTGTCTGTCTGTCTGCCTGTCTGTCTGTCTGTCCGTCTGTCCGGTAATGGTATGGTATTCACTCAGTAACTTCAGCTTCCTCTCTGTCCAACTCTTTTTTTTAAGTTGCATAAAATTCACACTTGTTGGGGAGAATACGGATAAAGTCGAGTATGAAATAGGCACTCGAGTTGGCTGCGGGATTTATCGAGAGAAAAAAATATTCGTTTTCATTCGGTAACTTTTTTTCACGTTTTCATACTCTACTGATTCAGTCCAAGATTCATTCGCTTCTTGAATATCCTTGGGATTTGAGGATACACTTCAAGAGTCCTTAAAAATCCCTGAAAAATGGCTGAGAGTCATTGAGTTGTAAAAATAATCCTTAAAGAACAGAGGTAATGGTATTGAAAAGAGCATATGAGTGTCTGCTGTTACTTCTTCTCATCAACCTTTAATTATATGACAGCGAAGGTTGACTACATCCAAGAAATTCCGTCCTGCCATCCTGCTTATGCCAAACATCATAACCTACAGAGCCACATGACAAGTCCATTTTAACAGTGCAGAGAACTTCATTGGCACAGGAGCATCACCGGTACGACACTGCCAATGGGAAGATGAGAAGATAGTGGATTAATAGAACTGACTTAAACACTGACTATATATCTTCGAGCACTGAACTTCATAACTCACAAGGAACACCAACAACTATTCAAGTCTTGATTCTAGGTAAATGCTCCTTAACTGTGCTGCCTTGGGTAAGTAACACAGACAAAACAAGACCCTTTAAGTAGATAAAATAAATCTCACTTGGTATTCTTAAGCATCACTCAATTCTACAGGCAATTTTACATCAATGGTGAAACACTGAAATCATCTTCAAATGCATGGCAACAGAAGGTATGATCTGATGGTGTGCTTGAATGCATGATTTGATGGTGTGCTTGAATGCATGATCTGATGGTGTGCTTGAATGCATGATTGATGGTGTGCTTGAATGCATGATCTGATGGTGTGCTTGAATGCATGATCTGATGGTGTGCTTGAATGCATGATCTGATGGTGTGCTTGAATGCATGATCTGATGGTGTGCTTGAATGCATGACCTGATGGTGTGCTTGAATGCATGATCTGATGGTGTGCTTGAATGCATGATCTGATGGTGTGCTTGAATGCATGATCTGATGGTGTGCTTGAATGCATGAAACCCTCCTTTATCATCCTATCATTTAGATTTCTTGAATGAACATGCAAATTCATACATAGTTAGGCAAATACATGACTATCTATCTGCATTGCGAAGTTAAACATGCCAACGCGCACATGCATTCAAAGATAGGTTTTAGACACACGATACAAATGCATCTGTCTAGAGGAGAGATAGATAGTGAGAGACGAGAGATAAATAGTGAGAGGAGAGAGATAGATAGTGAGAGGAGAGATAGATAGTGAGAGACGAGAGATAAATAGTGAGAGGAGAGAGATACATAGTGAGAGAGGAGAGAGATAGATAGTGAGAGAGATAGATAGAGAGGAGAGATAGATAGTGAGAGAGGAGAGATAAATATAGTTAGAGAGAGATATAGTGAGAGAGGAGAGATAGATAGTGAGAGAGGAGAGATAGATAGTGAGAGAGGAGAGATATAGATAGATGGTAGGAGGGAGAGATGAATGGGGAGAGGAGGATGGATAGTGAGAGACAGAGATAAATATAGTTAGAGAGCATAGTGAGGAGAGGAGAGATAGATGGTGGGGAGGAGATGAATGAGAGGAGAGATGTAGATGTAGTGAGAGGGAGATGAATATAGTTTAGAGATAGATGGTGAGAGGGAGAGATAGATGGTGAGGAGAGGAGGATAGATGGTGAGAGAGAGGAGATAAGTGGTGAGAGAGATGGGTGTTGAGGAGAGGAGAGATGAATGGTGAGAGAGGAGGAGATGGATGGTGAGAGGAGGAATAGATGGTGAGGAGGAGGAGATATAGATGGGTGAGAGGAGATGGATAGTGAGAGAGGGGGAGAGATGGATGGTGAGAGGAAGATAGATGGTTAGAGGAGAGATAGATGGTTAGAGGAGATAGATGGTTGAGAGGAGAGATAGATGGTGAGGAGAGGGAGATAAATAAGGTGAGGAGGAGATAGATGAGAGGGGGAGAGGTAGATAGTGAGAGAGGAGAGAGAGATAGTGAGAGGAGAGATAGATAGAGAGGAGAGATAGATAGTGAGAGAGGAGAGAGATAGATAGTGAGAGAGGAGAGATAGATAGTGAGAGAGGAGAGAGATAAATAGTGAGAGAGGAGAGATAGATAGTGAGAGAGGAGAGATAGATAGTGAGAGAGGAGAGATAGATAGTGAGAGAGGAGAGATAGATAGTGAGAGAGGAGATAGATGGTGAGGGAGGAGAGAAAAGATGGTTAGAGAGGGGGTGGAGATGGTTAGAGAGAGATGAGCCACAGAGAGAGAGAGGGATGGGCAGAGAAGAGGTGGGACAGTGAAAATTAGAGAATGAGAGAGAAGTAAAAAAAAGAGAGATGAGAGATAAAGAAAGAGATAAAGAAGAGATGAAGAAGCTGCCCACATAGAGGTGTTTTGGACTTGACGCGAACTTCTGATTTACTGAGCATATGTTAAATTGACCACGAGAGAGAGAGAGAGTAAATTACATTCCATTTTTATTTTATTTTTTGTTTGTTTGTGTGTTTGTTTGTGTGTTTGTTTGTTTGTTTGTTTGTTTGTTTTTCTTTTTTTTGTTTGAAAATATAATTAGTGGGATTTTGTCATTGATGTTACTGGTGGATGCTAAGGTAAATATCCCCCCTCCCCCCCAGCTTTCGTACTGTGTGTGTGCGTGTGCGTGTGTGTGTGTGTGTGTGTGTGTGTGTGTGTGTGTGTTAATTAAAGGTTAGTAAAATGTTTAATTAAAATGTTTGGTGGCTTGTGTAGTGAACTAACTACTGGACCTGAAGGAAATGATGAATGTAGTCATGTTTTATGGAATGTTTATTTAACTGTAGAAATAAATGTTTACCTGAATGTTTATTAAATGTTGAATACTGTGAAATGTTTCTAGAAAATTTATTATAAACTCAAATGTTAAAGTAAATATCTGCATGAAGTGTTCTGTGTACATATTAAAATGGTCTTTGGTATGTACAGGCGACGTTTAGAAAGCATGGGATAGTACTTACTTTCTATTATATAATCCATAACACTGTATTTTCCATTTGATTTTGCTCTCTCTCTCTCTCTCTCTCTCTCTCTCTCTTTATCTATTCCATCATCCTGTCTATCTATCTGTCTGTCTGTCTGTCTTTGTCTCATTTCTCTCACTTTCTCTCTCTGTCTTTCAACATTTTCTCCCTTACCGTTTACTCACTGTCTTTCTCCCTCCCAGTCTTCGCATTTCTCTTCCTCCCTCAGTGATATAACCTAACCTAACCTAACCTAACCTAACCTAACCTAATCTAGTCTAATCTAACGTAACATAACTTAACCTAACTTCTCATTAACCTAAGTCACCATTAATTATTCTTGTTGATTAAAATTGCTTACAAAATTGTGATGATATTCCGTTCAGGTATAGATGCACACTGTACTGTAATGGCCCGTTATTACAGCCTTTACCACATTACAGCGCTATTACAGCCACAAGCCCATTACAGCGTCATTACAACCAGAATTACATTACAGAGTCATCACAGCCTACAGCACATTACAGGATCTTATTGTCTTCGATATTAGATACAAATATGGAATTAAAAAACTTCCTGTATTCATGTAATCAGCGTAAGTGCAATTAGAATGTGAACACTACATGACCCGCGTGACTGTACCGGTCTAGGGATGGCATTGCTGTAATTTTCGTCGTATTGTCAGGTATTACTGTCTTGGGTCATCGCTGTATTACTGTATCCCCCCCCCCGTGTTCATGTATTTCCCCTGTCACTCCATTCCCTATCTGTATATTTCCCCCATTTACTACTGTATTGCTGTATCACTGTATTACTCGGTATCACTCGGAAATTCCTATAATTACTGAGTTTTTGTATCACTATATTATCCTATCACTATATCTATAACTATGTATTGCTAAATTTATGTATTTCTTTATCACTGTATTTCTGTATCAGTACTGTATGATTATTACTTATCACTGTATTTTTGTTTCACTGTATTGCTGTATGATTATAGTTATTTTGTATAATTTTTGCTGTATTGCTGTTTCTATAATCGTCATTTTCTGTAATCCTGTATTTATTTAGTTCTATAGATGTATATTTCTGTATTTTATGTATTTGTATCTCCTTTTATTTATGTATTTCTATAATTCTCTTATCTGTACATTTCTGTAATTCAGTATTTATCTATTTTTTGCATTTATTTTAGCCTGTATTTTCACTCCCCGTTCACTGCCTCCCTGTCACTGCCTCCCTATCACTGCCTCCCTGTCACTGCCTCCCTATCACTGCCTTCCTATCACTGCCTCCCTGTCACTGCCTCTCTGTCACTGCCTCCCTATCACTGCATGAGCGCATCATTGCCCCTGCGAGTGAGTGTGGCGGCGGGGAGAGATTGAACAGTTTTATCCAGTGCGATGACGGATGGGCTGAGGGGACCATGGAACGAGGGAGGGAAGTGTGTGTGTGTGTGTGTGTGTGTGTGATGGACGAGCTAGGAGGGAGGGAGAAGTGATAGAGGATAGATCAAGCGGAGGAGAGGGAGGTAGAATGAAGGTGGTGGTTGAAAGAGTAGTAATGATGATGATGAGAGAGAGAGAGATGATAATGGCAACACACAAGGAAACGGTAAGGGAAGAACGTAAAGCAAAGATGGACATAGTGTAAACGAAGATGAATAAGGAAAATAATTATAAACAAACAAACTAATCAAATTACAATGAATAAAATCAACAATAAAAACAATAGAGTTATGAGAAGTAACTAATAATAAGAATAAACTTGTGAATAAATAAACTGAAATAATGACATAAAACGACAATAACAACAGATAATACACACACACACACACACACACACACACACACACACACACAGGAGTATATACAAACATACATAAAACAGTTATAGGCAATGCTTCCGTGTAATGCCTGTCGGTAGTGGAGTTTACAATCTGAATTCTACATTGTGAAAAAAGGTGGTGGTGATGGTGGGTGGTGATAGTGGTGGTGATGGTGGGTGGTGGTGGTAGTGGTGGTGGTGCAATCAGTAATAGGTAAACATCCTTTCTTCTTCCTCTTTCATTCTCCTTATTTATTTCTCTCTCTATCTCCTTCGTTATACCTCCTCTTTCCTCTTCAGTCTCCTGCTCCTATCCATC